AATTTACTTGATGGAGTTATTGAGGAGATTGGAGAGCAGTTGGTTGCCCAGGTAGTGACTGAAGATCTAAATGTGGATGTATTGAGGGGCGAAGCAGATCAAACGGGTACATCCACTAGTACTACACCACACACATTCACTTGCTCTGCAGCACAACAATCAAGTAAAGGTATTCCACAACTTCTTATATGCTATTACATTACATTTATGTCAAGTGAGCAATGAACATGAATACATGATAATGATCTTTTATCTTAATGAACAGGAAAGAGAAAAGTGAGTCATGTTGAAGATGAAGATGACATGGCATTCATAGATACAATTGGAGAAGAAGATTCACTTGAAGACCCATTTAGTGATGGGATATGATTTCATTTTATATGTTTTTTATATTTTGGGAGTTTTGTTAAACTAATATTTTGTGATTTTGTACTTTGGGACATAATTTTATTGCATCTACTTTCTTATTTTCCACTATTGCTATTATTTTCCTGCTAAAATCCTTAATTTTTCATTTACGCAATTCTGTGTTCGTGAGGCTTACGCCTCAGACCGCCTCGAGGCTTACGCCTCGCCTCACGGACGAAAACCGCCTCGAGGCGCAGTTATGCAATTTTAAACCTTGCTTGAAAGTTACATCAACAAGACAAAACTGTCAGGCCCTTAAGCCAAAGCGGATAATATCTCGATAATTAAGAGTTTGGGCTATTACACATGGGTCGTTTCGTCCAAGAATACCTTGTAGACATAAGGTGATATTTGTCTAAAAGATTGAATTTGAGTTAACCTTAGCAAACTTAGAACTTTATATCTTATCGAGCATGCCCTATAATGCATTACTCAATGGGCTTTTAACCATTAGAAAACATACAGGCTTTGGTCATGACCGTAATATAATTATGTCATTTTACAGCAAAACCACCCGGTTAGATGGCACATGCCACGTCGTTGTTAACAATGAATCAACTGAGAATAAATTGTAGAAATACATTAAACAAGACATCTGTTTTTATGAGATGAAGCTATTCTTCATTTATCATCCTCGTCAAACCGTTACGAAAATTTGATGGATTTTAGTTTTAAGTTTTTTATGATATATTTTGATTTAAATGTTTAGAATTTGATAGATAAAAAATTTTGAAATTTTAATAGGCTTTGAAAATTGTCCCTTCTGATTGAGATTTACATTCAACGCAGTCATCATCAAGGTATCTTAAAATTATTTCAAATACTTGTATTTATTAAAATTTTGAATGCATTTAAAAAGCATGATCCCCTCCGATTGAGATTAACTTTCAATACGGCCATCATTAGGGTGATTATGTAATCACTTTAAAAGATTTGTATTTCCATTAGGGTTCATGGGTTTGAAAGGCAAGGTCCCCTCTGATTGAGATTTTTTATCAACAAGGCTATTATGAAATTTTGTACTTTTAGCAAATTCATGAAGCATTCTCAGATCTCGCATTTAGGAGCTTGGCGTTAAGATCGGAACACATGTGAAACTTGTTTTAGCATATAGATCAAAGCTATTGTCGAGGTATTTGAATATTTTTAGTGAATCCATGAAGCATTCTCAGATCTCGTATGTAAGAATTTGATATAAAGATCAAAGAACATGAGGAATAAATTCTATGGAAAACATAATGCTGCAACACATCAAACAATAATTACATGCCAAATGATCTATTGTATATGTTTCCTAAACTTTGAATTTGATATCTATATTCAACCCTGCCAACATAAGGGTCATTCAGCCCAAAAGACTCATTCTTCGTGCTATCAATCAAGTTTATAGCAGTACTATATTGCTTATTATTCTAACCATCCTAGTTGGTACTCGAGATAGGTGAGGATCTAGGTTGCTATAGTGACAACTATGCCAAAGGAGATAAACAAACAATGGTTTGTGGGAAGAGATATGACAATCCATATAAATCATTAAGAGGCAAGGAATTTTTTATTGAAGGGTCATAAAATTCTCATATTTTAATGAGATGCAAATCGCTTCATAAGTAGTTGATGTATTAGGTCACCCTCAGATCTGAACTGTTCAGGAAAAGCAGAACCCAAACCATTGTTAATACTTGTTCCAAGTGGCATATGGCCTTTACCAACAACAAATATTGTGATTCTTTGGAATTATTTCCATAAAATTATGGTCGTAACGATCTTGATCAGAAAAACCAGGGAGAGGCACTCGGCTTGGCACTGAGAATCTAGGAGTAGCCGACATTTTGATCCTTGAAACACCTGCAGGCCTCTCTTCATATCTTCAGTATCTCTGATAGAAAGTTCAATTGATTTGACTTGATCCTTTGGTCTAACAAAGGAAAACCCAGATTGATTGGTATTTTGTAAAATTCGTGATCTTAAAAGTGCAACATAAGCATTTTGGTCGCCATTGTCACTAGTATCCTAGATAAGTCATCAGCTAGTGACATTGATTCATTTCATTGGTCAAAGCCTAATGATAATAAATAATATGATGATGCTGCTCTCTTTTGTATATACACTTGTATCTTTCTCATTTCTACTTAAATCATTAAGACTATCCAAAAACTGACGCTTCCATTGGAGATAATCACAGCATTATAGAGAGTTTTCAGGTTTATACATATTGCTAAGGTCTACTTTATTTCCCTAATTTGAAGGGACCTGATCAACCGCTGCATTTATGGATATGATAAACTCTCCAAATGAAGAATTGGTAGTTCCATCAAGGTCATTTAAACTATTGCAAGGCTGATGTTTGTAATTATGAAGAGAGTGAATAAAATGAGGTGAGCATGATCTCTGAATGACATCAACAAAGCCTAATTGTTTAATATCAATAATAGTAAGAGAAATATCTTTATACCATTTTCAGTAGATTCACAACCCATCTTTGGTAACTCTAAATACCAATTAAATGTGGAAACTACATTTGTAGAGACATTTACTTCAAGGGATGGAATTGCAATTAAGGCTTCGTTTGAGACGGCTTTTTTATTACTTCTCAGTACAAAAATTAAAATTTAATTTTTGTACTATGAAGATGCTTTAAGAAACAATAAAAAAGCCGTCCCAAATAAAGCCTAAATTTCCAAAAACTATGCTTCTCTTTTGTAAACAGATGGCTTTTCAGCATAGCAATGTTCTCCCATTAGAAAATTGAGCATATGTCATTTGATATGTTAACCAACAATCATTTGGAATGATGAACATTTATTTAGGTTAAAATATTTAATTAGATATATACAAATGTTTCATTATCATTATTATTATTATTTATTTTAAATTAATTATGCGCGGATCTTTGTTTTGTTAAAAATTTCGGCAAACTCCAGGCATCCTCTCCCATAAATGGAGGTTGGGCAGGCACTTGCCTTTCAATCCACCCGGCCAGATTAAAGATTCGATGGCTGAGGGCTTCGAGACAATGATTAGTCTCAGCACAGATCTTTGAGTCTCAAAGTGAGGTACATGTTATTCATTTGATTTTTTTACAAACACTCTTACACACTCATATGCTCACATCAGCTATTAGCAGGATGACAATCCAACTAGCAGGCTGTACGCGGCCCCGAATCTAGTCGGTAATGGGAGCGAGATCAAATAGAGTCAAACGCACAATCCGCATATGTGATGGATAGGGGGTGGGGGGCTGATCGGGTCACACGAGGAGAAACGGAGATGGAGCAAATGGGTTCGAGCCCAGGAGATCGGGACAGGGGTCTCAGTGCAGCAGAGGTAGTTTGAGCGAGAGGGATCGCTAGCAGGTAGCGCGCAGGAGTCTTACGGACGAGAGAGAACATGCGGGATAGAGGATTGAAGTTCATGGCGAGGCTGGTCGGGATCGTACGGGATAGTGTGGGTGAGATTGGTCGAGCGTGAAGGTTGGTGTGGCTGGCACTCACGTGTGGCAGAGGGAGATCAAGAGAGAGGGTTGGGGATGGAATCAAGACGAGCGGCTTCGACTGGGGACGCAAATGATCGGGACGAATCATGGGAGGGACACGGGAGTGAGTCCTTCTTACGTGCGTGAGAGTAGAATGAATCCTCCAACCGCTCCTACGAGCAGTTTTGAGGAAACGAAAGAGTGTCCGTTCAATTGCATCGTTTGGGAGCGAGCGGTTGCATGAGTGGGGCCAGCGGCTGATTTGTGGTCAACAATATTTAAAAGAAGAAAAATTAAAAAAAAAATGAAATGTGATTGCCAACATGTCAAGGAAATACAATAACGCCATATGTCTCACAAGATAAGAGAGAAATAACTTGTAAGAGATATCAAAGAAAGAGGATTAAACAAATACTAAAAATTACAAACTTAAAAAATTCCTCAAAAATGGCACCATCATTTCATTGAAATGATATTTTTTTTTTTATTATTTCATTGAAATGATACTTTGAATTCTCATAAGTCATAAACGAATTTCTAGTGATTCTCTTCTTTTTCATTCACCATTTATCCCATCTTCTTTCTCTTCCCAATTTCTTTTGAACCTTTAGAAAAGCTCAAGATTATCTTATGGTTACACCAAAATTAAACTTGCATGCATTAATTTATATAGCCACCAACCTAATACAAAATTACCAAACATATTTTCAAAATTTCACACAAGAAGCTTTATACCTATCTCATCATCTGATTCATGTATAGATATTAAGTCAACAACTAAGCTTTCATACAACAAGTTTGAAGCATGTCTCTTCATGTAATTCATGCATTATATTATGTCAAAACTTAACATTTGACTAACAAAATACACTTGATAAGATTCAGTAAAATCTCTAGAATCATTTGATTTCATAATTTAATGATTTACAATAAAAAAAATGCGTCCAAGTTGAATTAACAAGACCATATATATACATACTTCAAAGGAGGAACCTTTCGATTCTCAGCAGGACTGAGACCACTAAGTAATGCCTTCCGAGCATGTATGACAAAATGGTTCGTGGGTGACTGAGAAGAGACTGTATATATGAAGTCACCTGATAATAGAAAAAATAAATTCATCTCCATGCATTGCAAGCAAGTTTACCACACTTAAGCATGTAAAACGCATAATTTGAAGATAATGATATCCACCGACATCGAGAAAATCAGTTTAATTGTTATTTGAGGAAAAACAAAAGAAGTGTCGACTACTCTCAGATAAATGGCTACGATCGTGTTTAGAAAAACAAAAAAGATAGATTGCATAAAAGGAAACTAAGAGCAATATTTCCATCCAATCTGACTGTATAAATAGGACAACTGTTGGTCATGAACATTGTTGAAATAATCAAATGAAATTATTAAAGCAGAACAACTGTGATCAATATTCTCAAAGAAAATAATCTTAATGCCAAAATAAATTAATTCAAGAGCACTGTAAGTGTTGTCAAAAGTTTTTTGGGAATAAAATCCTTGTTTTTCATGAATATGAGAATCTTTAGATATTTAGTGCTATTCTATATAATATTTAAGTTCCAATAGTCCCAAGGAAAAAGAGGTACAGGGTGTCACATTAGACAGTGATATTTTAAACAAATTGGTTGTGTATTTAGCAGAAATTAAATATTTCCGATTAAAACAACACCTGCACTTTGAAGATTTAAGATGGAAGATAAACCAAACTACATAAGCTCCGGGTGGAACACCTTAATTGACTCGGGTAAGCTCTAGAAACAACCTAAAGCGAAGAACATACAGTATTCTATTTGAAGTATTAACGCTTAATTGTTTAAATCGATATTTATGAAATTAACAAAAAAGCTCAAAATTATATTTTCCCACTCAATCAGCATTCCTGAAAAGAAACAATAACAGAAATATGGTATAGCCAACATAGGAAGTAGGGCCTTACAGAGTTCATTATATGAATCACGATCATCAACACCTATTCTGCATTTGACACTAACAGGAACGTCAGAATTGGCAGCAATAGCAGACATAGCATGTCCAACAAGCTTTAGACAATGCAAACAAAAAATTTCAACCAAGAGGAAGAACAGGAAGAAAAAGAAGATAAAATAGATAGTAGGCATAATATTAATAAGGTTTCTTTAAGTTAAACACCAAACCTTTGGATTGAACATAAGGCGTGCACCAAAGCAACCATGACCAGCAACTTTTCCACTAGGGCAGCCGCAGCTGATATTATATTTAGAATAAAATTCAAGAATAAGAGTAAGAAAAGACACAAGATGATGATAAATGGTACATTTAAAAGGTTAACCAACTTGAAGTTGATTTCATCATAAGAGTATAAATTTGCAAGTTCAGCAGCTTTTGCCAAGTTCTCCAAGTTGCTTCCACCAATCTGAAGAACAATTGGGTGTTGATCTGGGGAGAATGCCAAGAACCTATCCTGAAAATTTTAACACAAAGAATAACCATAGGATCAAAAATCAGCAAACATCCTTCTACAAAATATTATAGAACATTGATAGAATATGAACGAAGGGGCATGATAGATATTATTTTGGTTTTTTTTCTTTTTTCTAATTAGAAAATTGAATTTTTGCATTTATTTTTGCACAATTTCAAGTAATCCATTGTGTTAATGTAATTAATATGATTTATGTTGGCAATCACAATTTAGTTAGATTTCAAGTGCTAGTCATGCTAAAGGAGTAATTGTAGTCATTTGAATAACATACGGTGCATCTGGTGCAATTGGAGACCTCTGACACCCAAGTGCCCAATCTCAAATTTTGCCATTTTTTTTTACAGAGAACATGGCGTCTGGGCATTTGACCCAGAGCCTAAGAGCCTGACCCATGTCTACGCACCCGACCATAATGCCTAAGCACTAATTACATTTTTTTTTGGAGAAGTTCCATTCCAATTCAGAAAGGTTATTCAAGTGTCAAGGGCCCGATTGGGTGTCAGCCCCATTTTAAGCGATTGATGAGCTAAAAATTGCTAGTTTTGGAGGTAGAATTCAAAAGGAAATAAAAGTAACATTGTTAAGTACCATGTTGGATCATAGAATAGAGATGCCTATATGAACCCATGTAACTGTAGGGATCCCTTATGTCAAATTATTGAAATCAACTATCATTAAATTTACCCTAGAGATAGAGGTAGGCTGTAAGAAGACAAGATACAAGTTTAGCGCCATACATTATAGCGAACACTGAAGAAGTTGTTGTAGACCTGACTAAGGGAGAGCCTAGCCTTGAGCGACTATGCCTTGCTAACCATCCACAACATACCACAGGCTATTGTCAACCATGGGATCCAACATAATAATTTTGAGATCAAGCTGGCAATGCTTCAGATCATCCAAAACTAGTAGCATGGAGACTTAGCCACCAGAGACCCGAATTACCACATTATAAATTTTCCAGAGATTTGAGTTATCTTCAAGAACAAGGAGATATCTGACAATGCTATAAGACTAAGATTGTTCCAATTATCATTGTGAAATCAAGCTAAGAGTTGGATCAATTCTTTGTCAAGCGATTCAATCACTATCACATAATGTGCTCCAAAAGTTTCTATCCAAGTACTTCACTAGCAAGGATGGCAATGATGAGAATAGAGAAATCCAATTTCGCCCAACTAGAGGGCAAAACAATATATGATTTTAGGAATAATATACCGACTTTTTAAGAAATGCCTACAATACAGCTCTCGAAGTGGATGAAAGCCCAAACCTTCTAAATGGTCTATGTGGAGCAATGAGTACATTGATTGGTGCCAAATCTAGCATCACATTCACAATTAAGACGCAAAAGGTGGCTTACAATATGCACGAGGAGATGTCCATGAAAAACTTTGGGAGTCCTCCTAAGAAGAATGTTGTTGCCATTCAAGACTCTAACCAAATGGAAAAGCTCACTGTTAGGTTGATTCACTAAAAAAGCAAATCAACACTTTCATTGTCAATGTCATCCACACACCTATTATTAATATTTGCTATAAATTTTGTGGAGGCATACATTATAACAGTAACCATCAAGTAAATAATCCGTTCACCCAGCCTTATTTGGAGCAATCACATTTTGCACAGACTATATACCGCAATCCAACAATGCCTAATCGAGCACCTACAATATGAGATGGAAAAATCACCCAATTTTTTTAAGGAAGAATCAACAAATCAGACAACAACCTCTTGGTTTTCAACAACTGACAGGATTCCATCAATGATCCGAATTTCAAATATTTGGATATCAACCACAGCAGAAGGATGGAAAAGTCTCAATCAAAGACGCTCTCGCTCAGCTGAATTCGACAACAATGCAATTAATTTCACGTATTGATGCCACCTATGATGCACGAGAAATGGACACGGCAACATGCACACAAGACACGTCAATTATTAAAAAATCTGAGACACGGACAGGAGTTGGACATGGTATTATAATTTTTTTATTTAAAAATAGTATCTAGAAATTGAATAAACATAATATTAAGAATAATTGTGAAATAATAAGTCATTTAATTATGATATATGCTTAAAATAATTAATATTTCAATGTCGAGAGATGGATGTGGATGTCGTGTCAGATATCAAGAGAGGAGATGACAACGTTGCTGAGAGTCAGGTATTGATGTCGAGACAGCATCAGCCTTCGATGTTGATATGACGAGTGTCATCAATAAGGAGATGCTGATACAACGCATGAGCATGATTGTGGGTGTAAAAATTACTAGAGTGAACGTCAAGGTCAAGACAGCATCAAACTTCGATGTTGATATGGTTTTACAATATTGATGTGTGACGACATCGGACGTCAATATTGAGATGGCATTGTGCATTGTTGTGAAAATCTAGTCATAACCCGCTAGAGAGAAATGAAAAATGGGAATGTTTGGTGAATAGGTTGTTGTGTACAGACAATTGATTTAGGGTTGTGGAGAGAAAATAAGAAATTTTTTTCAAAATATAAATTAGAATGTTAACCTAAAGATAAGAACCAAAACTCAGCTCAAATTACATACCTAAATCCACAAAATCCTCCGTAATCCCTCCCGAAATCCCGCAAGGATTTCTGCAACTCGGCGTCGTTGTGTCGCTTCTCTGTGTTTCCTTCCAAAATCCCGTTCCAGCTGAGCGTTCCTCTCGTCTTTAAAAGCTGGATGAGATGAGGCTTCCGGCTCCTGCTGAACACCGGACAAAACCCCTTCCATTCACTGCTCTCGACCTCTCTTCCACGGAAAGAGCTCTCCCGATCTTCTCTGCGTCCGAACTCCTCTTCCTCTCCCGCTCCAAGCCACGACCTCCTTGCTTCCCCGACCGCTGCCTGTCTCGATTCCCTTTCTTCCACTTCATTCGTCGGCACAGAGAGAGAGAGAGAGAGAGAGCTACTATCAGGAACATTGAGGACCAAATCGTTCAGCTACCTCAACAGCTTTTTGCAAGGCAGCCTGATGCTCTCCGGATCAACAATGAAACAAAGCCAAGTGAGTAGGTGAAGACTGTCAATTTAAGAAGCAAAAAAGGAGTGTATGGAGCCAGAGGGCAATGAGAAGCCCAAGTAGAGGACACAGGAAAGGAGATTAAAAGGGGTGGGAAGCCAAAATCCTAGCTATTCCTAAACAATCCATCACTAAATGTCCCGCCATAATCATACCCTCAGTGATTCCAGAAGCAAAACTCAATAAACAATTTTTCAAGTTCCTGAATGTATTCAAGTAACTTCACATAAATATCACATTTACTGACACATTGGAACAAATGCTAATCTATGTAAAATTCATGAAAAATACACTTTCCAATTAAAGAAATTTGGAATACAAAAATGTAACATTTTTTGAGGGGTGCAATACAATGTTGCAAAGGAAACTGCCAACTAAACAAAAAGATCATGGCAATTTTATTATTCTGCTTTCAATTTACAAAAAAGTTAGATTTAAGAGAGATAAAGCTGACTACAGTATCAATGCAACTAGCAGATGGTTCGGTGCAATATTCTGAATGCATTGTGAAAGAGGTGCTAACACAATTCGACACATTTATCTTCTTAATAGATTTTATCATTCTTTATCACTCTTGATATGGACGATGAAGACCCTAAGTACCTGGACATTTTAGGGCGACCATTCCTAGCGACGAGAAGAGCCCATATTGGTATTCACAAGGGGTAGTTTCATCTCTGAGTACAGCATGAAGACAAGCATCAATCTGAGGAGACTTGTCGCTATATAAATATTGAAAATGTCAACCATCAGGAGCACCAAGTTGCTTCTTTGACATCAAGAAAATTTGGTGAGAAGGGGTTGCTCCTATGAGCAACTTAATAACTAGGAAGAAACGGGCGGACACACTGAACAAGACACGATAGGAGGTGAGCTATGTTAAGTTGAACTAAGCGCTCATTTGAAGGCAGCCCAACTTGTCATAATATTAAAAAAATTGAGAGCAATGTGTTTTTTTTTTCAAAAAATAAATAAATAATTTTTTTGGCATGTCGTTGCCATACCCTGCAACGATGCACTAGTCTAATTTTTCAAAAGATTTACATCTCCCATGCATAATTCAACTCAAGATCCCAGGAACTTGAATTAGGCAACTAAGTGCCTATCATGTTTTTTCTAGAATTCTCGTCATGAAATTCAAGGACTAGGCCAACACCTAGGCGTCTAGCCAACTATTAATGAAAATTTTAGTGCTTTCAAATAGTGGAAGAAGATATATGTATGATTGATTCCCTCCATGTCACCTTTATAGTATTGGAAATACTTGTCCACATTTAATCTACTAAAAGGCATTGAGGAAGACAAATGGCTAAAATGCATTAAGAATGGCAACATATGCAATCAATTGAAGTAATGGTGGGTGACACTAAGGCAACATTTTGTGGATAGTCATATTCTATTTGGAGACTATAAATAAGAGGTAATTGTTAAAGAAAACTCACACCACCTCCAAGCAAAGCCCTCAAACATATTCAGAACCTACCTATATAGTTTTTAGTAATCCCCTTCCACTATTAGTCTGAGAACAGTTGGTTACATGCTCAAAGGCTACATTTACCAATTTCAAACAATATTGCCTCTTTAAAAAAAAGCAATCACTATGGCTAATGCCCGCTATTAGTCTGAGAACAGTAATGGGTCTCTTACCAAATTATCTTTTTGATGAACAATTGTCTCTGCCACAACCATTTCAGTGTAGAGCCATGCATGTCTTGATATGAGGCGAGCAAGTGTCCTATAATGATTATCTGTCCAGTCCATCATCGGAGCAACACTGGACAAAAGAAACTTGGTTCAAATTGCCAGATATCATGCACGAATACTTTACTGTGTTGCGTCCTAAAAATATTCACCTGAACAAAGGAGGATGACTCTTACCACCATCCAAACATGTTTCTGTATTAATTTCTAGTTTCCTCTTTAAAGATTGAACTCTTTTAAATTGAGCAGAGGCATCATGAAGCATACTAATGGACTTCCGATAAGCTGCAGCATTGCCATGGTAAATAGGAATCAGCGTGCACAGCAGAGTATGCATTGCTGTCTTCATGATAACGGGTCAGAAGCATTTTCCACTAAAGCTGCATAAAGAATGAATTCAAATAAATATTCATCAGGACAACCTGATTGAATCGCATAACGTTTAACATCTCACAAGGGTAGCAAAAATATAATTAGTGGTCTTTTTTTTTTAGTCCAGAGGATATCTTACTCGCAAAGTTCTTTTTTTTTTAACAAAGGAAAAAATTAAAACCTCGTAATAACCGAAAAAAACAATCCATAGTACAGAAACAACTGAAATTTTTTGGGTATCTTCAGATGGGGTATTTGAGCAATACATTGCAAGAACACTTATTAATAGTTCAGCTAGCATTACAAAATCATTAAGATGGTTTCACTTTATGTTTGAATATTTCATACCCTTCCAATTTTGGTAGAAAACTTTTACAGGTTATTTATATAAGTTGAGTTCTATTACATGTCACAACATCACAATGAGAACAAATACCTTCAATCAGACATTTCAACAAACATCTTTAAGGAAGTTCCAGACCCAAAAAAGCAACCTTTCGCATTCACATAGAAATTTCACCCTTGATCAAAAATTTTGCAGTTTTCACCGTGCCTAAGTTTCAAAATCGTAGAAACAAAAAAAAAATGAGTCTGTTAACAGGTCTTGATGCTTCATAGTTATCTCCTACTATCCCACCATCTCTAATCCACAAATTTCCAATTCAAGAAATTGAGGTCATATGCTTACCGGGTCATTAAACAAGGTAGCTTGTTTGATGACTAAATCGCAAAATATTTGAAAAGCACCAAAATAAATTCATAAATCGCTCATTTAAGCAAGGTAACTTGTCAAGACTTGGGCATTGAATCTTATTATGGAGGCGAAGCGTGGAAAGGTAGAAGGACAAATATTAGGGTTTACAGAGTTTTGCTCGACCAAGCTCAGTTTCGTCTAATAAATTTGTCCGCCAGAGGATAAAGCAAGCGCGCCAGAAGAGTTGGAAGGACGAAAAAGTTTGCGTTATGTGAAATTTTAGTATTAAAATATGATATTTTTTATTAATGGAATATAACACTTTTATATCTTAAGATTTGATGGATTTATTTTCAAAAATAGTATAAATTTAGTGCTTTAAATATATAACAAATTAATATAAATTTAAAATAAATTATTTAAATATTTAAATAGATAAAATATATTATTATCAATAGATATTTCTTTATAATTTTCTAAAATAATCTCTTAATATATGTGTGATCATGTTATGATATAGAGATTGTTTGAAAACAACACTATAATTTTAAGAGGTTTTTACATATCTAACACTTAAAAATTTTTTATTTACTCATCTAACACCTAAACTTACCTATTTACATTCCTACCACCTAAAACTAATTTTGCTTTCAAAAATACCATTTTGTCACCATTACGTCTTCCAATGCGTCAAAACCCTCCTGGTACCACACAAATCATCCGCCTTGTTGTTTGTTCGCAAGAAACTCCAAGGGTCGAACCCCATTTCCTTCTTTATTCCGCAGGTCGCCAGTCCTACTCAACACCGCCGACCTGTCCTAGCCACCAGCTTTCCTTCCTTAGCAAGGTGAACTCTCCCTATTCTTCTCTTTTCCTCCTCCCTATTCTTCTCCATGTAATCTCTTATCAAATATCCTTCTCATTCTCAAGTAATCATTCCATTTTTTGTTCTGATTTTATGTAGGGATAAGAGTATGTGTTTGCTTTGTAATATACTTCCTAATCAACCCTAAAATTCTAGGTTTGTTGTCTATTCGCATGCTTTTGGATATTTCATTTTTATGTGTTGTTTTATAGTTGTCAGATTGGTTTTCCATTGATAGTTTAGTTATATCATTTTCATCTTTTCACAATTGTATATAAGTTGTTCGATAAAATGACACTAGGAGAACAAAATGAAAAAAAAAAATTGTAGAGATTAATAGACCTATATAGTTCAATCTTAAGTTGGAAAGATATAATTCTGAGGCAAGATACAGTGGTTTATATGATTTAGTTAACTACATTTACAATTTTGTCTTTTCTTGTCATTGCAGTAATTTAGGATTTCTAACATGAGCTCGAGTCGCTCCACTCCATCACCGAGAAGCGAAGATAATCCAATGTATTGTTATTGCAATCTGCAATGTCAAATCTATATTTGCTATAGAGATAATAATTGCATAAGAAATTTCTATAGAAGCCCCAAAAACAGATCGAAAAATGATTGTAGATATTTTAAGTGGTTTGACGAAGAAAATGATGAAGCAGAAGATATGAATCTCTTAAGGAGTGCAAATGCGTTAGAAGTTCATTCCAAGCATGCAATCTCAGCTACATTGAGTTGTTTCAAATTAAACTCTTGTTGCTTATCCTAATTTTTCTTATTGTTTTTGCCGTCAATTATTTATCGAAGCCTTGTAATTGCAAATGAATGTAATTTAGAATGTTATTAAGAAATTCTTGTGTCTTATGTTTTAATGAAATAAAAATTGAAGCTCTATTGACTTTTGTACTTGGCTTTGTTATAAATATAAAAGATGAAGTTCTATTGTGAGCAGAAGATGTGAATCACTTGTTCTTCGTACTTGATTTTGTAAGTGCAGAAGTGCTGTTTGTGACAAAGCTATTCAAAGGATACCAAATTAGTTTGTGTTATCAGAATTTTAGTAAGCTTTCATAGTGTTTTGTGTATATGTTATAAGGAAATTATTGTGTGTCGAATTCGGACATAGAGCCATGTGTGGATGCCAATAAAATCCTTATGCGTGGTATGCTTACAAGGAAAGTGAAAAGTCTGGGATATTCATTTGACTTGCAACTCGACCCATTTGTCTTTTCAAACCGACTGGAGACGAACAGACACCCGCTGGCCCAAAATAAAGGTAAAAAGATGAAAAGGAGGAAATTTTTCACATTTCAAACGCCTATACAGTTTTTAATTTCCAGCATTCACAGTCCTCCGAGGTTCCGGCATCGTGCAAAAAATTCTTCTCAAAACTTCCAGCATTCTCTTCGACTCCAATGGAGGGAAAGGAGTCACCTGCAAAAACAAAGGTTCGTTCTTGCGTACAACAGATAAGATGTACTCCGTATTTTTTTAATATTCACTGCGTATTGCTAAAGAAATCATACAAAAATAAAAACATCCAGATAACGATAAAAGATTATATATTTTTCACCTTCTACGTGTTTTCTGCGTATATTTTGCTTAATCTCTGTGTATATGTTGAAGACTCAAAACCTAACATTTTAAAATAAATACTATGGATATTAAAACCATTTAAAAAATTCCAATAAAGAAAAAAAGATTAGTCATTTCTTGACTTCTAATTACTTTGAGTGAAAATAATTCTTGATTGCGTATAGATTATGTATCGTATACATACCGAATGTGTACCGTCTTATCCCGTATAGTATGTATATCATATGCGTATAATATGCATATAGATTGCGTATATTATGTGTATATTCTGCTTATCTTATGTGTATTTTCTGCGTAATATCTGCGTATCAACTGCTTATCTAATTTAATATTTATTTTCTTAATTTAAGCAGATCTATGTCCATCCTATCTCTTATCGCTACTATATTTCAACATTAAGAATAATATGTGATACTTTTTCCGAGATAATTCCTCCTGAAATTGAAGACAAATTGAAGAATCTAAATATCTACCAATTTCTTAGATTCGAGCAAAAGGTCCCACTTATTTACCAACTGATGATAATGTGGAATATAACAAAGTAAAGTTTTATTATAGAGGGTCATGTTATACCTTTCATAGCTCATGAAGTGGCCCTCCTTATTCGTCTTCCAAATAGAGGTGAAGAGATTACATGTCTTACCTTGCCCACTACAACCATCACCTCAAATGATATAAAGTCGGAAATGCTAGAGTTAAATAGACATAACCCCCTAGAGACTATGTTCAAAATATTTATTATGTATTTATGTTCAAAATTATTTTTCAAACGAACCAACTTCAAAATCCCTATGTTGATACAAACAATATCAAATAATGTATATAAGTTTTCATCAATTAACTAGGCATGGTCGATTTGGAATTGCTTGGTTGAAGAGTTTAATAATGTATCTACCAAGATTTCAAAGAATAAGTAATGTGGTTACCTCAATGGTTTTGTGCATATGCTAATTATTAGTTTTAAAATCATTCTAATTTAACATTTAATTTAACTAATTTATTTGTTGAAATTAACTTTGATCTTATACAGGTTTGATTCATGGAGAACACTTCTATTCATCACACTAAGTACCCTGACAAAAGGCTCTATTTCCTTCGATGAGCCGATGACATTATATATAATACCAAGAAGATCGCTAAATTATTTGTTAATTTAAAGAAAAGATAGGTACGTATACAGATCTATTTGTTAATTTTATTAAATATCTCTTAAAGATAGTTGAGAATAGGGTTTTGCTAACAAATTAATTTTTTATAGATTTTTGTTGACCTCCAAGGAGTTACCAAGGAAAAAGCTAATCTTCTGAGCATCAGAAATATCCATCAAGCCATTATTCTCCCATTCAAACCCCCACTCCTGAACAGCTTCCCCCCCATAATCTCCTCAGCAACCCCAACCCAATCTGGCCATTAACCCCTACCCCAACCCCAATCACCTAAGCAATCACACTTTCCATTTTCACCTTAATCATTCGATGTTCTCAAAGAGAAAATAATCAAAATAGTCCAGGATACCTACACAAACCTTTTCCATGAATTTGAAGGTAGGTTAAGTAAGAAGTTTGAGCAAATAGTTCAAAGATTGGATTTGATTGATTACAAGCCCCATAATTGTATTAATAAAGGCACTCTCTATCATGATCAATAACCTGCTCCCTCCTCATTATGTAATTACCCTATACAAAATATAGGGATATCTTCTGAACATACAAAGACTCAAGGCCCAGCGAAGACCAAACCCCCAACCGAAACCAAAGTCCTAGAGAAGTCCAATGTCCCAGAGAAATCCAATGTCCCAGAGCAGTCCAATGTCCCAGAGTAGTTCAATGTCCCAGAGTACTCAAATGTCTCAGGTCAATCCAATGTCCCAGAGATGACCAAAGCTTTTAATGATGAAGAAGCTGGTGAATTAGAAGAGGATGTCAGTTTTATAAAAATTCAAATAGTGTACAAGAAGCAAAAATTACATATTTCTAATCCCTCCCATAAAGAACCCTCCCACAAAGAACCTTCCCAAAAAGAATCTTCCCAAAAAGAACCATCTCAAAAAAGTTCCATCCCAAAAAGAACCATCCCAAAAAGTTCCATCCCCAAAAGAACCTTCCCAAAAAGAACCATCCCAAAAAGTTTCATCCCCAAAAGAACCTTCCCAAAAAGAACAATCCCAAAAAGTTTCATCCCGAAAAGAACTAATCAACGTTGATAATGTTATAGTAAATCCTAACTGCAAGTCTAATAGTGAACTACATTGGCATAGAGATGTTGAGTCCTAAGAAGAAATATTTTATTATAGCTATAGTAGTGCTCATCCACATATGTCTACCACAGATTGTGATGATTTGTTCCAATAAATGCTACACCATTCATACATGGTAGTTCATATAATTGCCAAAACCCACCACTACACAAATGGTTCTCTATGTCCACCTCATGACGCTCAAAACTTCCATCAACTTTGACTTTTGTTGAAGTTGATTGGAGTATAATGAAATGTTATTTCTTGTTGTAACATCTCTAATATAGTCATCTACAAATGGAACCAAAGGGTCCTTCCAAGATGTAGAGTTTAATTTCTGTTGCAATCATTATTCCATCAGCATTCCCTTTATCATGTCGATCAAATCCATAACAGGCTTATTCCTTGACTCCTCTATGCACAAATTTAAGGATTTAGCCATGTTTTTTATGTTGTAGTGGTTCTTAATATGCTTTGAGAAAGTAGCTTTTGACCACTTAGATGTCAAAGAACTTAGGTAGGAATGAACTTCAGGACTAATGCAATCTATT